CGTTATCAAATCCATGTAACATTAGCTTTTTAGATTGCGTGTAAGAAGTATCTCTCAGATATTAAGTCTCTTGTGTAATTTGTTACGTAACAAGATAATATGGTACTAAAAAAGTTAGTTGACGGTCTTATTTAACGAGTACTATGTTTAATCGTCAACTTTCGAACAACCTTCATCTGATCCTCGCGTATTTATTCTTAGAATTACGAAGATCGCTCAAGGCTTTTCTTTATATTGAAATCGCAAATCACTAGTATATTCGCTTTATTTCATTGTACTTAATAATTATTTTTACATATACGTGTAGTTAATTCTTTAGAAGTGTGTACATTACATAGCCTTATTTAAATTTGCAGAAGCCAAGGCTAAAAATAATAACAACATAATTTTAAATATAACAACAGATCTAATTAATTTGCAATTTGAAATTCTACTATCAACTATATAGACGTTTACTCTTATAAACATTTATTTTAGGCTTAGTTGTGAAAAAGTACTGAATAATTTTCAAATCTAAAGTTGTTTAATATAATATTATATAGTTATATTATATATAGTTATATTAATTTACAATAAATATAAATTAGTGACAAAAGTAGAAAGATAGAAGCAGGGTTAACTTTTCGATAAGCTGTCTTTGCAATGCGCAATGCTGTTGCAATAACTGTGACGATCGATTTTAATGATATCCACAAATCCTAACTCGAATGATTTCCACGCGGTATCGTATAACGCGAGATTACCGCTTTCATCTCCAACGTCTCGCGGTGAGAGTTGCGTAACGAATTTATAGATAACGAAAGGGCCCCGTAACGAGGGAACAAACGACTCCTTGTCTCCGGAGACAAGTCGCACGGATACGAAACAACCGTTACAGCGATTTAGGTGTCGAAAGTCGAACGTCGTTTCCAACCTCCGTCGACCGGAGACAGCGGCCGGAGACGACGGCAATTTGTATCCCCGGCGGCGGTCGTCGCAACAAGAAACGTAATAATCCTTGAACTACGCCGCTGCACCGTGATGCCTCTAATCACTGTTTATGACATTTCTAATGACAACGCCGCGTGACCAATAAACCGTGTCGTGACCTCCCGTGACACACGTCCGCGGAATTGTAATCTGCACCGCCGATCGAACTGGCTCGCGCACGTTCGCAGTTGATTAAGCTATTCGTCGCGCAATTCAAGTTAAATGATGCTAAATGGTAAAATCTGATTGATACCAGAAAGATTAGTCGCTCAAATATTAAGACAGTTCTTCAAGGTTTTTACAACTTTATATTACTGTTTCATATGATGTTTCTTTATGAATTACAATTAATTATTCTTTTTCATAACTCTTGTAAACAAGCTGAAAAATGTTTTCATTCCATCTAACTCAATTTAAATGAATGTAATATTCTGTTATTTATATAAACTATTAACTATTAAAAATTTTAATCTCATTTAGTGCTTTAAAAAAACCGATTGATATATTATTGTCACGTTGAGTTCACTTCGGTAGTGAATAGTTAAATAAGATACAAGAATGCTGGCATTCTTCGGCATTGGTCTGTATCGAAATATTGGCGAGTCCAATTTATGTCAAACGCTAATCACGAAGATATGTACCCTTGTAGCAATAAAATTTTTATTGGGCGATTGTATTTTGATTGCGCGCCATGAATCTAAGCAGTGGGCTCAAGAACGATCGAACAACAATTCACGTCAATGTGCGAGCCGTCGACGATTGAGAATTATGTGAATCGTGTTCCTCGTTAATTTTCGTGGACCGTCTCGCGAAACAGATGGTAATTTATGCCGGGAATGGAAATTTAAACGAGACGTTGTCTCGTACACCACACGCGATACAATTAGCTCTTGACGAGAGAGTTGCGAAAGAAGATAAGGATCACCTTTGTCTCATGGCTACTCAGTTCTAGAAAACAGTGAGACGTCAGTCTCGTTTAATTATTGCCTCGACTTTAGTAGACTTAAGATAAATAGAATCTATTTATTGCATCATGAATAATTTCTGTTATATTCTGTTATAAAATGAACAGATCGTGATATTTATAAAAGCGATTAACGTACCTTATTATATCATCAAAATAATTACACATAATAAAAAAAAACTAGGCTACATATTTAAATTGTTATAAATAGGAAGGAAGATATTTTTTGCCAAAGTTATATATTTAAAATTAAAAATGTAATAATACATTTTTAACTTTAAATATATGACTTTGGCAAAAAATATTTTGCGTATATGGCTGTATGCTTCTTCCTATTTATGTTTTATGTTTATTGAACCATCTCTAATAACTATTGTAAAATTTTAAATTGTTATTTCAGTAAACTTTATTTCTTTCCCGAAAATATTTTTTCGAAAATACTTTTAATTCACTGATGTATATACTTTTTAATCATCATGTATACCTCGTATGTTAAATAATGAGATTCGTTTTGCACACAGCTGCTAATTTTAGTCCTTCGTGTGCGACATAAGTTTTTCATTGTCCTGCATTATCAATACGATACAATTTACGAGAAGGTTTCATAACTGCAGTTGATTACGCACGATTGTCGTAAATCAATCGAGTTATTATTTTACGATGAGCGCAATTTTGTTGCGATTATTGGTAGTAAATTTCGCTGGCGACGCACGACTCTCTTGAGAGACGGAATGTTAATGCTCGTATAATTATGAGAACTTGTACCACGATTCTATGTTTCCCTTTTATCTTCACAAGTTATTTGCATTTTATGATTTACAAAAAAAAAACGCAGGTATCATTCTTATAATATTCAAGTAACACCTGTTACCGTCAAAATGTAACAATAAATCAATTTTATTTATTACTTCCCTTTTGTTCTGTAATTTTCGAGACATTAACTGATGTATTATACTTAATAATATAACTACACCAGCAATAGCGTCGTCCTCAATTTTCGATAAGTCTTCAATATAAATTAAAGAGAAATTAACGACCTTCGTTTACTCGTATTAAACAAAGGAGTATTCGAAGAGATAATTGTTATTCATTCCTGTACCTATGCAAATTATTCGGTAACTAAACGTGTGGTCGTTTGAATATTTATTAGCTTTTATCTTCAGCTGAAAAAATATTTTCTTCATCAAACCTCAAAGGAGGCTTATAAGCTTTCTCTAAAGTATGCTTTGATGACGATCCAGTCGAGGCACGCTTGATTGATTTTATAAATCCTCTGGAATGACCAATGAAGATTCTCTTCGTCCTACGTGTAGCAATCGCGAAGGGCTCTTTAATATCTCGCACGCTCATGCCTTACGTAAGATTAGGGCGCATAAAATTAGGATAAGACTGGAATGCATTCATCTCGCAGTCCCCTTCTATCATTTACGATACATATATGTATCGATTTACGATACATATATGTATATGACGTATTATATATATATAATACGTCATATACAGTATATGAGTATACCCCACTTTAATTAAATTAATTCTAAATGAGATTTTTTAAATATTTTAAATTTAGTTTTTCTAAAAAATTTCAAGGCATATCTTTTCCATTTCTAATAATTTTATAATCAATTCTCGAATTGAAATTCTCATAATTTAATTCAAATCTGAGAAAAGAATAAGATTTCATTGTCTATTTATATCTCTGAAATTCAATTTGTAAAATATCTTTCAGTTATTTATAATTAGAAATCTATCGATATCTCTCGATAGTTTTGTTACAGAAAAATTTTTAATTAATTAAGAAATTGTAATAAAAAAAATCTTATCTATAAAAATAGGACCTCTGTGACACAAAAATATTTGAGATATCTGATATTATTAGTTATATATTAATTTAATGAGAGATGTTCCTTGGTTGAACGTTTCTGGACACTTTATTATCTAATATGATGATAAGTTTTCTATTTAAATCAAATTAAAATTCAAATATTCCTAAATGTAATTTCGATAATATATTTTAATCTTAAATTATTTAAAAATTAAACGTAAATTCGAGAAATCAGTTCTTTAATTTCTATAATTAATCTCAAAAATTTTGGTTTATTTTCAATTTGCCGATAATCGCGAGAACTTCCACCCCATTAGTATACTCCTCGTGTCTTGCTCGTGAGAATGAAGCGCTTTTATCCTGCGTAAGATCTTCCGTTTATCGAGATGCAGTCAATGGCCAAGGTCCTTTTATAGACGCCATGTAAAGTCCGCGCTTTATCTTAATTTCAGGTAGCGAATTGTCACGCCTGTTTGGCTATCTCCATCATTTTCCGGGTCGCCTATCTGCGCTGTTTCTTAATAGAATCAGCGTATCTCAAAGGTGCGGTACAGCGTAACGAGATATAGTAGTACAGTAAATTCGAACACTATGCATTAATATCAGCGGATTGACGCAAGTGGATTTGGCGCGACCAACTTGATTAAAGCTCTCTTTCATCCGATTTTCAGTTATGCTTTGACATAAAATTTTCTCCAATAATTAATTAATCATACCATTTATATCACGTGTCGTTAAATTACCACGCTTTTTCCAATTGTCACGTGAACGAACAATTTTATTAAAACATCTAAAAGTTCAGCTAGATATAGATTTAAAAATAATATTGTTGAACCATCAAAATAATTACGTAGGAAACTCGAGCATGATGAGCAAAAAAAGCTGGAAAAAGCTTTTAATATTCTAGCAATCAACTAGTGTCCCGCATAATTATTTTAATAGCCCATCAAAATTATTTTTCAGAGCTATATGCTAGATTTTTGGATACTCAGAAAATTATACTTTCCGTGCAGAAGCTAAAAGAGGATAATATATATACATATTCGATATTTCAAGATAAATAACAAAATTAATTCTGAATGATTTCTGTATAACAAAAATAATATACATGTAATGAAATAAAAAAGCAATATATATATATATATATATCATCGTTATTAATTGTCAATTTTCTCAAAGATTTATTTCGTTAAAGTTACGCTTGTTTTCTGTTAACTAAATAGCTCGTTTTTTGTGTTACAGCGTGTGACTGCCATCCGATCGGAGCTTCTGGAAAGACCTGTAACCAGAGCAGCGGCCAGTGTCCCTGTAAAGACGGTGTAACCGGTATTACTTGCAACAGATGCGCCAGAGGCTACCAACAGAGCAGATCGCATATTGCGCCTTGCATCAGTAAGTACACGCCCACGCGTGCGTTCACTGTGCTTGATACTCGGTTTCATTGCCGCGTTTATCTTTTATTTCGATTTCGTTTCCGTCGACGCTCGTCACCCCCCTCGAGCCAAGCTCGTTTTGTGCGAGCTACGCCAAGCATGTCGCGATACAACGAGGAAGATAGTATTCCGACTACAGAGAATAAGAGAAATTGTGTACCTTTTCATAAGATGATGTTACATGACGATACATTTGAATAAATTTTAAGAAACTAATCAGTCGAAAAAATGAAAGAGAAAGCGGATTTTTTGCAGTTACATTTCTTGAAAATGTCTGAACTCTTTCGCAGTTTTTCTTTTTTTCAGAAATAATGCTACTTAAAGTAGATTCAGAACGCTAAAATTACAGAGAATTTAATACGAATTGAAATATGAATTATAAATTCAAAATAAAAGAAAAAAATATCGCAAAACCTCTTTCTGCCAATGCGATTTATCGTTATCGATATATTCGCGTGCACACTACGATATAAAGACGCGCAATGTTGTATGACCAGAAAGAGAATGCAAAAAGTCTCTCTCGCCAAGATGATTTCACGTTCGATCTTTTAGTCTTGCTACCAGGGTGGCGAGAAGGTCGAGCAAAAAAAAACACCGGAGCTGCTCGACCACACCCGTACTGCTCTCGAGAATGATCGATCGATCGATCGGGAGGAACACGCGATGATCTCGACACTGGATCTCCTCGCGCTTGTCCAATTAGGCGAAATTTGCGAAAACGTGTGTGCGACCATCGGATCGGGATCTATCCTCTGCTTCCGCCGTCACGGACGGCTTTTAGTTTCAAATCGAGTTTCAATCAAGAACGAGTGTTCGTGTCACGAAAGATTACATCGTTACCCGCCTCCGAGTATCACGAAGATACAATGCTTGTATTTTACCATGCAAAAAGGCTTACAGGCAGCGTAATAAATATAGGACGAGCGAAAATGTCGTACGGTTGTTTGCGCTTCGAGCAATGCACTCAGATTTCATAATGCACATTACTTCAGATCAAACATATCACAAATGTAAAATAATGAACATTTTTATATTTTTAAATTATATTAAAAAGTCGCCGAAGAAGATACCGTCTTTAAGATTTTTAATGATTATTAATAATCTACATATTTCCGAGAAGATCGGAAAGTATTTTTCGCAATCTCTGTACAAGAGAGAAACAATTATCGATTCGAGCGAGAAGTTCTTAGCATGATCCTCTGCAGGATTAACTCCAGCCTTCCATCCAGACTCGTTCCTCTCATTTATCTCGTATTCTTGCAGAGATACCCAGGGTCGTACAGACGCAGGGTACGGCTGGTGAAGAGAGCGGCGAGCATGAGGACGACGACGACGAGCGTGGATACGACGGACGAGCTGGTAAGTAAGTGCAAAGTAAACTCGAAGGTGCGTATACACTGAGCAAATGAACAACGTACAATGAACGCGAATTTTCAAACATTCGTATTCACTTGTATTCACGCTATCTCGCTCGAATTATAACGCCGTGCCTTTGGCTACATTTGGATTTTGGCCTATTGATATAATTAAATATTAATAATACTTGAAAAGTAATGGTAATCGACAGTTGTATTCCACTTACGAAGTCAGATGTAATTATACTCGTACTCTCTGAAAGTGAATCAGTTCATTATTACTGACTTCAGTGCTTACATTTGTAATTATTAGCGAATATTTACTATTTTTTTTAGTAATAATAGACTGATTTATTTTTAAAAGTTATGGTTTCTACAAATTCAATCTGCAGAAAATTATAACTTTTAAAAGTGAATTAGTGTATTATTACTGAAAAACAGTAAATATTCGCTAATTATTACATCAGTTATTACCATTACATTTTAAATATTATAACTATATTTAATTATAATTCAAGAAAATTACACGGTTTACCTGATTATCTCCATGTTTTGGAATATTATTAAATCAATTGTATTATTAAGTCAATTGTTTGATATTTTATCAGGTTATTTTTCGTTTTGATAAAATGGACAATGTTCATGAAACATCAACATTTAACGATATATCAAGATATGGAGATAATCCGTAAACCGCGTAATTTCTTTGAAGAAAATACCCGTACAAAGTATCAATTATAATTATTAATTAATTAAAATTACTAATGAATTAATTATATCCCGCAATGTAAAAGCTATATAATAAAAATATTTTTTAGACAAATTGCAAATGTTTTGCAAGTGTTTTTATTAAATATTGTAACTGTTAACTTAGAAAAATATACATATATTAAAACGTCTATTATGCACATATCTTACTTTAACTACAATATCTATTTTTGGTTTGTTATATGTTTGTTCAGTATATACGCACTTCCATGTGACTATGTATAGTTTGCTTGTTTGCGTTTAACTATCCTACGGTCGAACTACTTGACATTCCAAGTGTTATGGTACGACGCGCCGAACACTCTAGTGACACACTGGGCGATGTAAAAATTACTGGTGAACGATGGAACGTAAGAAGATAAAATAGATGAGTGGGAAAGACAGAAGAGACAAAAGGGAGAATAACATCTCGAGTCTCAAGAGGAAATGATGTTAACGTAGGTCGGTATTCTAATGTCACGTATTCAGCACTAATGTCCCTGTCCGATTCCAAGTTACATTTGTCTTGTACGGTGATTTAATATAAACGTGAGATGAAAGTCAAGCATTTAGCGCTGGTAAACATAAGATAAATACGAGCTTAATAATCTCCCAATTTAATTTTGTGACAATCATAAATCCATTGTGATATTGAAATGATATTGAAAAAACGCTATTTTGTGTTAAATTAAAAATAAAAGAAGAAAGCATGTATCGCAATATCAAGACATTTTAAAATCAATTCGCGTAAATTTTTCAAAATAAATACAAAAGAAAAATTTACTTTGCACTTCAATTTGAAATTATTATAAATAATTAATGAACCATGAATTTGTTATGTTTTAAAATCTGCGCTGCTAATGATACTCTTTAAAAATAATCCACGTTCTTTTTGCATTAATATTTTATATTTGTATTATTTGCATGGTTTTAAGAATTAAATATTACTTCATGAAAACGTGAAAGAACTGAGCAAATACATATTATACAAAATTCTACGATATTTTATTCTGTATCATCAAAAATATCTGCTAAATGAATCTCTTTCTACTAAATTTCGAGATTAACTTTTCGAAAAGCATTAATATCAAAACTATGATATGTTAAAGAAAAAGAAGAATTTCTACTTCGTAACTTTATACAGTAATAAAAATTATCACTTCCTAAGAAATCATCACTAAAAGAATTTGAAATTTGTCGGTGAAATTCGAATTTGTAATGAGAAACTGCTCAACTTTTGACACGTATTGCATGCACAACTAAATAAACTTTGGTACTGATCTGAGTCTGTACGATCACATTATTATTTCCGTAACGAGGATCAGGATGGAAGGAAGTCGATCTGGATACGAGCTTCATCGCCACGTGGTAGAACGGAATGCAGGCGCTATATTAATTTAAGCAGACAGAGCAGATAGAGCTGGTGAGCGAGCGAGAAGGAGAAAGAGGGTCGGAACGTCTAGCCGCGCTCGGTCGCAGCCTCTCAGCCACCCCTAATGGCTTAATTAAAACTACCCTCGCTTGCGGCTCGCCCGTTTACTCCGGCATTTTCACTAGCGTAGACGATGCGCGATTTTCACAGCGAGCTCTTAGCCGTGCTCGGGCAAGTGAGCGAATCCTCTATTCGAGACGTCGATGCATCTCGATAAATTTAAAGTTTTAGATGCCGATATTTTCTCAATTGAGATCATATATAGAAGAAGTAAAAGATAAAATCTGACAGAATTTAGTTCTAATTAAATTTGATATATGGTACGCTTCAAGATATCTTTTTAGATATTTTTTTATACGGTTAAAAATAGAACTTGACAAAATAAAAATTTATAAGTAATAAATTCTGTTTAAATATTATGAGGAGTTTACGTTGATTGGAATAAATGTTTAAAAAGTACTAAGACGCGGTACATAGACCAATACTGCGGTACATAGAAGGATTAAACATTAGATGCCGCCGATGTACACTAATGTAGTTACTGTCTTAGAACTTTAACAAGAAAGCTTTATCTCCTAATTTAGTGTCGTCCCCAACGACCCTGTCTTAAGGACGTTACAGAGAATAGTTTCCGATTTTATGTAGAAAAATGATTCTTTCCTACATTTAAAACTGTTTTAATCTGTATGCAAATTTGTTTCTTATGTCACTGATTATTCTACAATAAAAATATAGAATTTGTAATGGTATCATTTAATGTACTTGAAAATATTAAAATATTAAAAATTATTTAGTATATAAATAATATACAATTAACTTTTTTAATTCAACTATTTTAGATTATTTTCTAATTAGCTAAAAGTATATTTATTTATAATTTTATAAATATCACTTATATAAATTCCTTTTATATTTCTCTTATATAAATTATTTATTTTTGTATTTTATAATTATAAATAAATATGTATAAGTATGTATATTAAATTTGTCGTTCGCCAAAATATTTCAGCACTGCATCCACTTTAGTGTCACGTTTATATTGATATATCGCGTACATCGCAACAGAAATAAGGATAAATAGACTTTCACTCGGCAGCGCCGTTACAATAATCAGATAAGATGTTGATTTGAAACTTGTAAAACTGTGCTGACAATACGTCTCGCGTTCACGATGGATCGAGCGATTTTTCCAGGTTGAAAACTGACGGCATGAAAAGCGAGAGGCTCTCGTTGTCCCTCTCGAGTTCTCTCGTTGCATCGAATGCACGCGTTTCTACCCACGCGTGCTCCATATGCAGAGCGCAGATTACGTCTCGACGCTCCCTGCATTTCGAACACGAGTGAAATATCGATGCGCGAAGAGGAGTATCGTGATCGAGTTTGCACCTGGGGCCAAATACACCCCACGGGTGATATGATACTAATTATCAGATATTGCGATCGTTAAAGAAATTATTCTTATTTGACTAATTTTCTTTTGCAATCATTGAACTGAAGATAAAAGTATTTAATACAATTGAGAGATATAATACGACAATTTGTCTTTTCATCATAAAGAAATTTTTTTAGAGTAGTACTTCTATATAT